AGCGCGGGGAGTATTTTCTTAAAGGCACGTTCCGCGATAAACTAAGGCTAGAACCTCATAAACGTGCAGGATGATCAAGCAGGCAACAGTAGAGGATATGCTGCTTTTAAAAGTTGAAAAACAGCAAGCAAAACGCAGGTCTCCCGGGTTTTAGGCCCATTGGCGCCCGATAGGCCCATGCCGGCCTCCGGTGACCGCGTCGTTGACATTTGCCATTTTGCGCTCTCTCGCTCGTCATTTTCTGGCCTCTCTCGTCTCTTATCAGTGTCTCGCCGCCTTTTGCCATCCACAATTGATCTTGACCACCTTACGCTCGTCCGGTGATCATGATCAATTGCAATAAAGAGGGTCTTATTGCGGGCGCTTTTTCGTGGTTCCTTCTCTTCAATAAGTCAACAATCACAGGGCAATTCTATTTTTGAACTGTATTACCTATGAAGTGTGGTCGCGGGAATTGCCTTTAAGCTTCCATTACCTATCCCACGCGCCCCCCCCCAACCCCCTGGAGGATCTCAGTTTTGAAGTTGAGCCGTTTTGAAAAACCTCGTTGTTCCATCAAATACCCAACAGTCGATAAAGTACTAATAGCGCTCTGATATTTAACATCCATCAAAGTCAACTAGAAAAATTGGCAAAGTTGACTTGTATGATCAGATTCAAAGGTGATTAGGTCTTTTAGCTGCAGCACTCTTCAGTCACTCTCGGAATATAATTAAGTTGTTTTAGGTTTTACTATGACATAACTTATGACGATGACGATGAAGCGATTCAAGAGTACTGGGACATGGTACCCGAGGTATCGTTCTCCAAATCCAATGCGAGCTCATTTCATAGATAACAGTCGAGGGGTTTGCGCAGCCAATCGCTGGTTTTGTTCAGATGCCGAATCAAATGGGATTTCTGGAGGCTTCGATGAGTTCCACCATCCGCAAAGGTGTTTTATTAGGAGCGGTAGTAAGCGCTGGTCAAATATTTTCCGGAAGCGTTGCATCGGCATCGTATTCTACAAGGTAAGTGCTCATGTGGATGATACATTCCCCGTTGATCCAGGTAGATTAGCTTGGTCAGAAATTCTTCTAATAGATGGTTTTCCCATCTGAGCGGCAAATTTAAGGGGAGGGGAGGCATCAGTGGGAAAGTTGGGATGGTCCCGATGGTTCCGCACATAGAACCAGCGCGGAATGTGACTCTAGCGACTCTAACCTCGTCATCCGGGCAGTTGATTAGGGCGGTCGTCAACGGGCCGCAGCGCGTGCCAGGAACTATTTGCTTTTCCAGGCTAATTTAGTCATTTTTCCACCTTGTGAAGATAAGGAGCTGCTAATCTGGGAAAAAGTAGCCAAAACAGTGAAAAGTTGGAAAAAATGACTAAATTAGCCTGGAAAAAGCAAATAGTTCCTGGCACGCGCTGCGGCCCGTTGACGACCGCCCTAATCAACTGCCCGGATGACGAGGGTACCTGTGTGTTCACACTCGAGTTTCCTTAACTCTAGCTATGCTCTAGTTCGCTGGGGGCGAAGCGTGCCAGGCGGTGTGTCGCGGCGGCGAACCCGTTCCCTGTCAGTTGTTGAGCGGGATTTCACAACATTCGATATTTACTGAGTGAACCTACAGATGTGAAAGGTCTCTTCAGCTTTCGAATACAACAAGTTGTGGTGAAAGAGGCGGTGTCGGCGCCGGCGGCGAACTCATTTTGCCTGGCTTACCCTCTTTGCTTTCGGCCATAAAAACACTTAAACTGCTCAGGCTGCATCAACTTTGCGTCAGCGTCCACCGGCGTCTACCAGCGTCCACCAGCGACCGAAAGTAGGAAATATGGGGAAGTAGGAGGGTAGCAAAACACTCGCACTAGGCGCTCTGAACCGCATCCGCGGGAGCCCGTGTGCAACTGTAGCCACTACAATCTACACTACCACCGCGTACATTAAGTTGGCATAGTGTTGTGCTTTTAGCAGAGATCCTGGAGGTACGATCCACAGGGGAAAGAGAACGGTAGAGAAAAGCAGGGGTGTACGAACGTGATCTGGGAACTCCAGGTACATGTCTGTTTCTATCATTCCTGTGTTCTCTAAGGGGCACTATCTGCGAAACCCCCTTTTTCTGCGCATCTTAATAAGCAGTTCCACTGCCTTGCATGAGCGGTCCGAGTGAAATTTCTCCTAAATATTTTTACAGCCGTCACCACAGATCTTTATTTCAGTATGTTCGAAGCTGTTTCGTTTACGAAGGTGCTTATTCCGTTCCTTCCTGCTCTGGGCTCGGTTTTCTCCATTATTCTTACCGTACCAGCGCTTTTTTTTGCAAGCGCTTCGTCTCAGTGTTCGCTGTTTCCCTGCAATTATACCTTTAGCAATGTCTCCAGGACAGATTCCATGGGATCGTATGAGCGGAGACACATGACCATTGTACCTCTTCATTACTAGTGCTCTCTTTGCCGTACTGCAAGTAGTAGTGCACTAATGAATAGGATACAGTGGTTGTGAGTCCCTGCAAATGCCAATTCCACGGCCCTCTCTCGTAAGGGTAGATCGCCAAGCTTTTCAAATTCCCACAGGAATGCGTCGGCTGTACGATCATCCCAAGAATCGTGAAGGAATATGAATGTACTCTCATACCTACCAGAAGACCGTGCGTTGCCAGCGGAAACAAGGACAAACCAACAGACCGGCAGAATAAGTCACCCTCTGCGGCTTTGTACTAGAACTTATGCAAACTAACCTGTGAGGTTTTCTTCGCATAAACACTCCTCACCCCTCAAGGGAATAATTTGCTGTACTTAGTCACAGTAAATAGTGGCTTTACGTAGTCAAAGAGCATTAGATCATTGTGAGAACATTTTTTGTGAATTTGAAGCTTGCTCATACAACACTATTATGAATTAAGGAGCGGCTCAGATTGTTGCTAATTCATTCATACCGGAGACGCCAAACTACTACCTGCCAGAATGGATTCTACATTCAAGCAATCGAATCCATCAAGTTAGCTTCCTTTTCTCACGTTGTTCTTTTATGGACAGTTCTAGGGTCATCTATAGTACGAAGGGAGGCGTGCCTATGAACCGAGAATATCGACTAAATCATTGGGCCGCACTTTACTTAGGAGGGGGGGGAAGGAAGGAACTTTTTGTAAAGTCCTGTCAGCATACCGTTGCAATGATGCGAACGATAAGAAAGTTGTGAACCATAGCAGCTTCATTTTGAATGGCCATAAAACACGGAGCGATTGAACAGGGCCGTAAGCGACTGAGTTCTGGGCTGATAATACCCGTGAAAAGTGATACGCGTCAAATACAAACATCGCGGTTGTGAATTATGGATAGTGGAGCTCGGTTACAAACCTATAGCCGCTAAATAACTCTCCAGGAAAGAAAAACGCCGGAAAAACAGTGGCGAAATCCTAACTGCGCTCCTGGTGGCTCCTCTAGACGAGTTTTCCGGACCTGCTCGTTTTACATAAGCAAAGCAACATCCTACCACCTCGAGATCAATAATGGCTTCTCCGTGTAATTCAATACTATTACCATGGAACAACGAGAACAAAACGGGAAACGTGGTGCAGAACTGAACTTGTGACAGAAAATAGCCTTCGAGTGTCGGTGGGCGGGACAACTGGGAAAGCGTCAGAAGTGCCACTTGTGAGGCCACAGTGCCTTCGTCACTTACTGTGGAATCGCGGGAGAGGGGTAATCTTAGAGACTAAGGGCCAGACTTATTGAAAAAGGAGGGACGCCAACGAGTTGCTCGAGCACGGGGACTATCTTTAAGCTCCCATTACCTATCCCAGAAAGATCCCAGTTTGAACTTGAGCTGTTAAAAAACCTCCTGTGTCATTGAGATACTATTGACTTTAGAGTCCGAATGCTGTAATAATCGTAGCAACAAGTATGATACCATAAAAACAGACCTTTGTATACCCAACAGTCGATAGGTACTAACTGCGCTCTGATATTCAAAATCCACCCAAAGTCAAATCGAAAGTTGGCAAGGTTGACTTGTATGATCAGATCAAAGGCAGTGTGCCTTCAGCTGCAGATTACTCTAATATAAGTTGTTCTAGGTTCTACTATGACATAACCTATGACGATGACGATGAAGCGATTCAAGAGTACTGGGACATGGTACCCGAGGTATCGTTCTTCAAATCCAATGCAAGCTCATTCCATAGATAACAGTCGAGGGGTTTGCGCAGCCAATCGCTGGTTTTGTTCAGATGCCGAATCAAATGGGATTTCTGGAGGCTTCGATGAGTTCCACCATCCGCAAAGGTGTTTTATTAGGAGCGGTAGTAAGCGCTGGTCAAATATTTTCCGGAAGCGTTGCATCGGCATCGTATTCTACAAGGTAAGTGCTCATGTGGATGATACATTCCCCGTTGATCCAAGTAGATTAGCTTGGTCAAAAATTCTTCTAATAGATGGTTTTCCCATCTGAACGGCAAATTTAAGGGGAGGGGAGGCATCAGTGGGAAAGGTGAGATGGTCCTGATGGTTCCGCACATAGAACCAGCGCGGAATGTGACTCTAGCGACTCTACCTGTTGTTCACTCTCGAGTTTCCTTAACTCTAGCTATGCTCTAGTTCGCTGGGGGTGAAGCGTGCCAGGCAGTGTGTCGCGGCGGCGAACCCGTTCCCTGTCAGTTGTTGAAGCGGGTATTTGACAACATTCGATAGACGAGTGATACGTACGATGTGAAATAGTCTTTTCAGCTGTTCGCTTCAACAAGTGGTAGAGAGCGGGTTCGGCGCCGCGCCGAACTCATTTCGCCTGGCTTACCCCCTCTGTTTTCGGCCATAAAAACACTTAAACTGCTCAGGCTGCATCAACTTTGCGTCAGCGCCCACCAGCGTCTACCAGCGACCGAAAGTAGGGAATATGGGGAAGTAGGAGGGTAGCAAAGTTGATGCAGCCTGAGCAGTTTAAGTGTTTTTATGGCCGAAAACAAAGGGGGTAAGCCAGGCGAAATGAGTTTGGCGCGGCGCCGAACCCGCTCTCTACCACTTGTTGAAGCGAACAGCTGAAAAGACTATT